ATGCTTATCTTGCTGGGATCCTATGACCCCAGCTGACTTCCTGCCCTTTGGGCGGGGGGCTGGACTCGATGATCTTCCGAGGTCCCTTCCAGCCCTGATGTCTATGATACATACCTCCAGGTACCAGCACGGCTCATGATTGCTGTTATGCTGGGGCGCATGGAGCATCCCACGGTGGGGGTGGGGGGGCTCCACGTGCTTGGCGGCAAATCTGCACGTGGACCAGAAGTAGTTCTGGTCCACTTCTGCGTCTGCAGGGGAGCATGCTGGGGACCCCCCTGCATCTCCTGGCTCAGTGATCAGTCACAGGGGGACCCCGCATGACCCCCCAGACCCAGGAGGCACCAGTCACTGTGCCAGGGAGGCATGGGGGGCCCCCCAGTGTGCTCCCTGGTGGACCCGGGAGTGCTTCTGGTCCACTTCCAGTTCTGCTACTAAGCGTGCTGGGGAGTCCCCCGTGCTTCTGTGGGACACTCCATGCATCCCAGCATCACAGCACTCACGAGCCCCTGCTACCTAGAGGTATGTAGAAAAAACTTTAAAGGCTGTCTCTATGTCCGAATCTCTGAATCGATTCAGAGGGTTCCAATTCAATTTGGAGAGATTAAAGGATCCTTTGATTTGATTCAAATTTGAAGATTCAGCCACCAAATTGGGCTGAATCTCTGCCTGATCAGGCAGTGAATCAAATCAGGAATTGAAGCTTCGCACAGCCCTACCTGACATGTCCTGTAAAAATCTCATAGAAAGACACAGTTCTTATCCCAAAGAGCTTGCAGTCTAGTTTGAACCAAAATGTGACAAGTGAATGTGACCAACGTGATGAGAGGAGGGTCTACAGATGATACAAATGTAATGACCCTGTTCAACTTTATGGTTCCTAATCTTCTTCAAGTATTTTTTGTTCCTCAGAAAATACACAAAAAAGACATTATACCCAACTGTCATTCAACTTACTCATTGATAAGTCTCTATTTTTGTAAGCTGTAAAACAGGAGTGGATCCTAGGAAAAGATTTGGAGATAATTCTGGTTGCATGTATACATTTTTTCAGCTCTTGTAGACACCTATTTTTTTCAGGTTGATTGCTTTTCAGGGCAGGATTCTCTTTTCCATTTTATGCAAAGTGACAAGCACATTTTTGGGTGCAACCACAATGTAAATAATAATAATAATAATAATTGTCATGACCCAAAGGCATGATTTTGTGTGTGCTTCGGCACCAGAATTATCCCCGCCAAGTTGCAGCTTCATTGCACGGGAGAGTTTCCTGTTGCAGAGGAAAACCCCGGTGCAGGGACAAGTTTCCCGCTTTTCTGCAGCTTCTTTTGCAGAGTGCATTGCTCGAGTTGCAAGAGGAATGCACGGTGCAAAAGAGTTCCCGCCACTGGTATGTAAATTCGTTCCCTGCTATTGGTTAGTTTTAAATTATTCCCACGTGGCAGCTAACGATTGGCCTGTTAGCCGTATAAGAGGCTTGAGCAGTTTCCGCCCAAGCCGAAGAAGACTCCACATCCATCT